AGGTGAGTGCGCGGCCCGCGCGGCGCCTTCCGCGGGCGGCCCTGGCGCTGCCGGCGCCCCGAGCCCGCGGTCGCTGCTCGCTCCGGAGCTGTCACAAACTTGGTGGCGTCTTTCGGGGCTGCCTCCTGTCACTGCCTCCCCTCGCAGGTCTCCGGGCCAAACCCCTTTAATCACCCTTAGGTGTCTTTAGAGACATCCTGCTTCTTTGCCTCTTTCACATCTCCTGCCCTAGGGCGATCTACACGCACCCTTGTTGAAGGGCTCCTGCTCTACAGGCATGGATTTGATTTCTAGCAGCCATCTGGCTAAAGATGGGGCTGAGCGGTAACTTGTAGCTGCTCCCGAGCTCCTTGCCGTGCCCAAACTTGCAGCCTCCAGCTGGGATCCTGAGGCAGGAACCACCTTTCCCGGGGCAGCCCTGAGATTGGCTTAGTTTAAATTTTAAAGCGTAGCTTCCTCCTAGGTGCCGTAATCCAGCTCCATTCGCAGCCGGTGCCGGGCACGTCCCAGATCCGCAATCTGCTTTTGTGCAGAGGAGCCGCTTAGGGCATCTGCGGGAATGACACAAGCGACGGGCTTCTTGCCAGGAACCGCCACTCATGGAACTGTTCTCGCAGGTTGACTCCTGGGTAGATAAACCAGGCCGGTGATTCAGGGAAGCGCCGGGCAAAGCTCCTTCCCTCATGCAGAGCCAACAGCTCGGCAAGCTGTTCTGGTCACTGCAGGGTATGTCCCTGCTGCAGGCAGCTGCCTTGTGGACAGAAAGTCAAGAGAAAAACTGACTCCTCTGGCTGTTACTGAACATGAGATGTTTTGTGGTGTTCCTCAGTCAGCTGCGATTTCTCGGAATTAATGTGTGCCCAATCAAAACTCCAGATGCTGTTTTTAGCCCCTTTGCGTTTTGCTGAGTGACGAGTGGGCCATACCCTACCTTGCGTCCTTGGGGTTATCCAGTCTGGAGAGGAGGAGGCTCAGGGGAGACCTTATCGCTCTCACAACCACCTGAAGGGAGGTTGTAGCGAGGTGGGGGTCGATCCCTTCTCCAGAATAACTTGTCCAGGTCAAGGCTGGAGGGTGAAGTCAGCAGAGGAAGTTCAGGTTAGATATCAGGAAAAATTTCTCTACGGGAAGAGTGGTGAAGCGTTGGAACAGGCCACCCAAGGAAGTGGTGGAGTCCCCACCAGTGTCCAAGAAACGTGTAGATGAGGCACTTGGGGACATGGTTTAGCAGGCGTGGTGGTCATGGGCTTACGGTTGGACTTGGTGATCTTGAAGGTTTTTTTCCAACCGTAATGATTCTATGATTCCACCGTCCGGAATGGCCAAGCCCATAAAGAAGTTTTCTCTACCTCCTCCAAGTGTGCTTTTTATTTTGAGTTCGGATCAATTTCCTTTTCAGCTGCTAATTCTGGGATCAGAACTCAAGTTACACTGATAGTCATTTGAAAGCCACAATTTTTCCATAGGTGAATTGTGCACCTATTATCCTTTCTCCAGTGGCTGGTGTTGTCAGGTGCACCTGCCTCCTACCTTCCTTTGGCACTCAGCCAGGTGATAGGGTGGAGAAAAAGCAAGAGAAACAAAAGCATAAACTAGATTATCTGTAAATGTCAGCATGTCTCCGTTTTATAACTAAGAAATCCTCCATTCCAGAGCCAGTTCCCTAAGGAGCAGGGCACAGGTGTGAATGCAAAGCTTAGGCTGTTCCTGTGGGAATTGTTTCCTCAGAGGAGGCAATCCCGCACACGTTGCTCCTTGGCAGTCCGTGCATCCCCTGGGGCAGGTTGCAGTGGAGTGTGTGTGCGGTGGGATGCGGGCAGGTCCCAGCTCCTGCAGCAGTTGTGTAATCGCCCTCCTTGAAGCTGTTCTAATGGGACAGTGGTAAAGCAAGCCACGAACCCGAGTCCCGTGCGTGTTTGCGTCTCGGCACAGTCTCCGTTTCCCAGCTGTGATGGTCTGGAGTTCCAGCACGGAAGCAAGGCGCGATGCTGTTCCGAGTTACCTGGAAAGGTTGATGGTAAATGAATGACCGTTGTCCTGTCTTTGGCCTGTTGGAAGGTTATCAATCCATCCTAGGACCATCTATCTAGAGGACTCTTTCCTGCAAACTTCCAGTGGTATTTCTGTATGTGAGTGGCTGGATGGTTTTCGAGTGAAGGTATTGAAAGGAAACTCCGAAGATGCTCTTTCCAGACTCTTACTACACCCATTCTGTTTACCCGTTATCACAGACATGCTCTTTGCTAGTTTATCTCTTAATGGATGATATAGGGAGAGGGGTGCACCCTTACCAGAAGGTTTGAAGAGAAAATAGACAATATTAGTGAGGTATTTCCCTGTGACAGGGAGGGCAGCAGTAGTGTTTGTGCCACAGAGGAGTGTCCTCAGAGAAGAGCAGTGTGTCGGCTCCAGGGTGAGACAATTTTTCATTACTCATACACGTACCAGAGTACTTGACCACAGTAGTAGGGGCCTTGGTGAGAGGTGAGGTCTCTTGTGTGGTGGGAGCTGAAGGCCAGCGCTCCAGAGGGAACAGCCCAATGGCAGCAACAAGCCAATACACCTGGTGCCCTGAACCTGAAGGATTCCTGACCTCTGGCATTGTGTCTTCAGTGAGATTTAGGTTAGAAACTCCCTCTTTGCTGTGAGCTGATGTGTGGGTGCCGCTGTTCTGCAAGCACCATAATCCTTGGAACATAAGGCACTACCAAACACGCCTGGGAACATAGGAATGGGCGTGTCTTGCTTGGATTGGTGACTCTGTTGGTGTCGCTCCCCTGAGGCTACAAAGGGGCCTGGTCATGGGAGATGGTGTAGGAAAGTGGGCTGTGAAAGTGCACAGAGCAACAGCAGGCGTGAGAAAAGACTGAGGGCTTTGATAGCAGCAGGAGAAATGCCTGGGGGAGGCAAGAGTATAGCAGGGTGATATAAAGCTCTTAAGCAAGTGTTGTCTTTTTTTTGCAGGTAATTGCCCTCGTGATGGATTCCTTCACAGATATCGATATCTTTGGTGACATCCAGGATGCCTATCGCAACCGTAAAGTCCCAGTCTATATCCTTCTGGACCAGGACTTTCTACCCCATTTCCTGGAAATGTGTGAGAATTTAGGAGTCTGCCCTGAGCAGGAAAGTGTAAGTGCTAAATAAACTTTGTGTGCTGTGTGTGTGTGTCTGTGGCTCAAGGAACAGCTTATAAAAGGAAATGACCCTCCAAGAAAAACAGAAGAGATGTTAGGCTCAGGGGCGGTTTGGTCTTTGGCGACATCTCTTTTCTTTCTTAACACATGACCATTTTATTTGGAATGGGTTGGCATCCGTGTGGTGTGAACGGTGTGGCACGGTTGGTTCCTCTGATTACACACTGACACAAACATGTTCTGTCTTGGCTTGGGCAAACTCGTGTTCACGCCAGTGCGAGTTTCTCAAGACTGGGAAGCGCTTCCTAGCTTCGTGCCCAACCTCACAGGCAGCAGCTTATTGGAAATGGCTGTTCCTCCAGACTGCTCCACAGGCTCCTAATCCAATGGAAATAGAGCTCTGCGTAACTACTAACACTCCTTGCAGACCAATATGAGGAAGCTCATGTCGCTCCTCTCTTTTGTGCTGTGCCTACTTGTTTCTGTGTGGAATTGCTGATCAGACCTATTGGAAGCCAGCTTAAATGTGTTACTGATTTCCCCCTCTTTTCTGAAATAGCTGCTGAGAGTTCGAACGCTCACTGGGAACACGTACTACATGAGGTCAGGTGCCAAAATTGTTGGGAAAGTTCATGAGAAGTTCATGTTAATTGATGGCATGAGAGTGACAACGGGCTCTTACAGGTGAGTGTTGGTGTGTGTTGGTGCAAGATGAAGCTTTGGAAAGGGGCAGTTTTTGAAAGATGAGTAGATTAGCTTTGCTCCCTTTCAGATGTTAATAAATACCCATGTCAAGTGGACTAGCTGAGACTTAATGGGACTAACACAAAGGTGGGAATATCCCTGGAAATGGAACACAACTTGAATGTTTGCACACATTTAGTAGTGTGTATCTGACATTCAGATTAATCAACAAAAAAAGCTTCAGCTAACAGTGTGCCAGCTGTCTTGCACAAGCTGTTCTGTATCTGTAATAATTCCTTTCCATATCCTAATGATTTGGTTACTTGGGCTTGGGGAAGCAAAGGGGTTGGTTTCTTAGAAGGGCTGTATTTCACATGAAAACTAGATCAAGGAATGAAAAATACTCTACTCCTATTCCTGCCTGTAGTAGATAGTGAACTCATATGTTTGATTGTTTCTGGTCTGACTGGGAATTTTCTATGATGGCTGTTACACTTTAACACTTCTGTCCTAGTCTAGCAGGAGCAAACTTGCATATCTTCAGGCAGATATCTGTATGCAAACACCTGAAAAGAGAGAAACTGTACAGATTGCTGCATGCCTTTTGGTTGTGAGATTGAACTGGCAATAGGAGAGCAGGTGGCTGGAAGCTGAACTTTTTGCTCGCATTTGAACTATGTAAACTTGCTTTGCACAAAGTTGTCAGCTCAGCTATGAGTAGGGTCTAAACAGGAGTTTCCCTGAAAAAGAGAATATTCCACTGATTGCATGCAAAGCTCATGCAAAACACATCTAAGCTGAATCATGCTATTTCATCAATAATTATATGTGTTGAAATGAGTCAGAGATTAACTGTGATTCTTGGCTTGTTTTCAATAGCTTCACATGGACTGATGGGAAACTGAACAGCAGTAACTTGCTGCTACTGTCAGGTCAAGTGGTTGAACAGTTTGATCTTGAGTTCAGGATTCTTTATGCCCAGTCGAATCCTATCAGCCCTAAACGGCCCTCAGGCTGCGGGGACAGTGGGTTATTTGATCACCTGATGAACGGAGCGGAATCGGCAAAAGAGTGCGCTACGGAAAGCAACGTGCGAGTAGAATTTGCCAGATTGTCTAGTACTCCAAAGAAGCTGTTGAAAGAAATGGATGTGGCTGAAGGTGCTCCTGGAGACAAGCTTTATAACCTGGGATGTTCTGGCATTGCTGAAGAGGAGTGGTTCAGCGACGTAGAGGCCCCAGTGGAACGGAAGAACGCGTCGACACAAACCGGCCCGTGGGAGGGGAAGCCTGTGGCCACGTGTGACGGTGTCACGCAGACCAGTGTTGCGACGGTAGAGAGCAGCACTCAGACCTCGGTTGCTGCCAGAATAACGGGCACGCAGACGTCGGTTCTGTTGAAGACGGCAGTCACGCAGACCAAGGAGGGTGGGCGTGCGGAGGTACCGCTGCTTCACCGGCAGCTTTCCTCGGCATCCGGGAGGTCCGTATCTAGTCTGCGATCACTGTCTTCATCATCATCCCAGTGCTCCCTAGCAAGCTCTGCCAGCTCGCTGTCTTCTCTTCGGTCTGTCGAGTATCCTACCAGCCACAGGGCAGGATATTTCCAAAAGCTGCATAAAGAGAGGCAGTTTCACTACTCCACCATCAGGTCGAGGCTCAGCCACATGGTGGATATCCTGTCCCGGAGGGGACGCGTGCCTGACAGCTACCCAAGCCAGTACCCTGGGAGATACACGCTGAAACAGCGGCGCGACATCAGCGCCAGCCTGCGGAGCCTCCGAGACGTTTCGCTCTTCTCTCTGAACAGATGACGACGGCTCAGCTGAATGTGGAGCACAAAAACTCCAGGCTTTTTGGTGCAGTCACTTTATATCTGCTACTTCTTAATTCTCCCAGTACTTCTTACTTTCACTGATTATACATCTATATGAATATCACTTTTCAGCACTTTTATACTATGCAATTCGAACACTAAAAAAAAAGGGTTTTCTCTATACTGTAAACACGGGTGTGTTCCTCTTGTGTGCATTAGTGGTAGGCATTAATTTTAATTATGTACGTTTAACCTGAAAAGTCACCGTATTAATGGTTTGTAGGATTGCTAATGTTCTGGCTTTAGGTTATCTAAACCTGGAATAATCAGAGGTAGATGGAACTTGCTCACAGTACCTTTGCAGATTTGTGTTAGACCAATGTTTTTATTATTACTGGGTTTTATTTCTGCTTTATCTTTGGCAGAAGGGAAAATAACCTATTCTATTCTAATTCAAAGAAAAAAATAAATGCATTACATTAAAGCTCTGTTGGAACAGCTGAAGGCGCTTGTGCTCCACTATATGGTTTTCCCATATTTTAAGCGTGCTGAAGTGGACTAAGTACAGAGCTAACCATTTCTTTGGTTTGATCATCCTCTTAATGCCTCTGTGTGTGTGATCACAGAGCTCCAGGAGAGCATCTTAGAAAGCAATACCTAGAAATACCTCCCACCTTAACACCCCCTCTAGCTGTACTATTTTGGGAGAACAGACAGGATTTGATGTTTCTGCATACCCCAAGAAAGGGGTATGAGTTATATCTGTAAGAACATTAATGGAAGAAAAAAATGGTACTCCTACAACATTTTGTCTTGTAAGGGGGAGAGGAGGAGGCGATGCTCAAAGGGCAGTGTGTCTTGCTGCAGCGTATCATTTCTCATCTATCCTCTTTTGGGATTACTTCCAAGAAATTTCTCTTCTTCATCTTGTTTCACAGAACTAAAATGTTCAGTCTCTGCTCCTTAAACTGGTTTCCAGTTCTAGCAAGGCCTGGGAGTGTCTGAACCATTTTGCTACCACTAAGAGAACCTTAAACTTCTTCCTTCTCTGGAGTGAACTTTGGAGCAAGACAGTCGCTAAGGAGAGGATGCTACTTTTGTGGCCTGGATTTCCGAGCAGCCAGTCCTGTCCTAAAGCTGTAAGGCAGATGTGCAGGAGGGATAAAAGCTCTGTCTGTGCTTGTTTAAATGGGTAATGCACTGCTTTGTAGGAAGGCTCCTGGACCTGATGCACCTGGGGTGAAGGGAGCTGGAGGGAGGGAGCTGAGAGAGTTTAGGAGTAAAAATGTCTACATTAACTTTGCAAATGTCATGTGTCCAAAACCAAAGTGAGAACACTTGTTTTCCAGTGTGCTTTTTAAGCTTTATTATGTGGTGCAGTTGTTCAGGTATTCTGATGAGAACAAGAAAGTTTACAAATAAACAGTCTCTTTGCTATGTGTGTTTTCACCTGGTCACTTCTGAGCTTCACCTTCTATTCGTTTAGCATTTTGACTCCTAATGACTAAGGCGCTGCTTCCTCCTTGGCGCTGCTTTCCTGCTCCGCCCGTGAGCGGCAGGAGCTCGGATCGGAGCCGCGTGCCCTAGGGCGCCATTCGTCCTCCCAGCCCTTCCCGCCTCATTCCAGGGTTGCTGCTCCGAGCACGCGGCGCGGGCGCCCCGCTGGCTCCTTCCTGCTCCTCCCGCGGGGCCCGGGCGAGGGCAGCGCGTCCCGAGCGCCCATAAAGGCGGCGCGGGGCG